TATTTTAAATAATTAAAAAAGTAAATCAGAGACATATTTATAGTAATTATGCAGGCAAATTTGTCTGCAAATCTCTATCAATTAAGGGATAAAGGTTATCTGGATAACTGTAAGGGTTATTTGGTTATTTGTAAGTTAAAAACTGATAGTTATCCAAATACAACTTTTACAAAAAGGATATTGATAAATAGATAAACAGATATCCGAGTCCAAACTCTAGCGATATCACAACCTGCTAAATTTAACAAAATCCTATAATTTAAACTCAAATAGTTTGACAAACTTTGAAATCAAATTTAAATTAAATTAAACTTAACTAAAAAATTTAAGCTCAAACTTAAACCAAACTTAATTTTAAAAAAAGTTTGAGTTTGGGTTTGATTTAAAAATCAAATCAAACTCAAATCTGGCAAAAGTTTGATTTAATTTGATTTGATAAGAACTCTAGTTACAGGCAAATTTTCAAATTTTTTAAAAAATTTTTGTTATAAAAAATTTTGATAAAAAAATTTAAAATTTTTTTAAATAAAATAAGTCAAAGTTTATGGTTTGTAAAACTGGTTTAATAAACTTGGACTGTTTTTTTTTTCTTTATCTTTCTTCTTAGAGCTATTTCTATTTGTATTTTTTAAAAAAGTAAAGTATCTCTGCTGTTTTTGTTTAGCTAAATTGTGGTATTAAGGATTAGTAAAAAGAGTTAAACCGTATAACTGCGAAATAATGCACAGAGGCGTTATTTTGAAGTTTTGCCTGAATTAAGCTTAATTTAGGCTGAAAATTGAAATTACACCCCTGTGCGTTATTTTGCAATTACATGTGACCCCCGTTAATATCAACTTCATTAATATCAACCTAAGCCAAAACCAAATTTTTATGAATTTTTATATATCAAAATTCCCTCTTATATATCAACTTTAATATAAACCCTCGTTAATATCACTATCAACATAATTTAGAACAGGTTCAAATGTGTTGATATTAACGAGGGTCACCTGTATATGGTATAAAAATTATTATTTTTCTTTTTCATAGTAAACATGGGTCATATAACAGTTGTTATATGCCAAATAGACTCCCACAAACTTATGTTATAACAGAAAAAGAAAAAGAAATCCATTATTAGATGTTTTGCATTCAATAATAGTGTATCTGGCTTTGAATTTAATGTGCTTGACAACCTAAGCCCCTTCGGGGCCCAGGTTAGCATATTAAATTCAAAGCCAGATACTTCTTTTATTTGTCATCCAAATAATCATCCTGTAATCCTTCGGATCGCGGTATTCTTATTTCTCTTGCCAAATAAACCTGTTATTGGATGCTACACATCCAATAACTATTTATTATATTTAGTTATATATTGTATATACTGTATATTATTAATAAATTTTAATTTTATCAAAATTTCAGGTAAATTTGTCTGAAATACAGATTAAATAATAAAAAAAAGATTTTTTAAAAAAACAAAAACAATTTAAATTACTAGCAAAGTGGCCATATTTACAAAAACCATTTTCTGTCTATTAGCATTAACCAATCAGAGATATATCATGTGTTAATAGCATGATCCGAATAATCCTCATCCTCAATCTAAAATATATTACGGATCTATCCGTTTTAAATTGACGAATAAGGTTATCGGATCAATCCGATTGCGGATTCTGCGGATTGAAACACCAAATAATTTAATGATAAAAAATTTAATTAACTAATCAAAAGATTTATCATTAATTGACTAGAAACATAATCGTTTAAGTACTTCATCCTTTTATATTATCAGTCGCTATTTTTGGTGCAAAAACATATATATTTGTTAAGTCTGGAAAAGGAGAGGCGAGAATTAAATTGTTGTAAATTTGAATAAGACGTGGGTCTGTTGTAAAATAGTGCTTTATCCTTTTGCTGATTCATAACTTTCATTCGATCTTGTGAAAATATATGGAATAATCGTTAAATGGATGCGTTCGCTCGTGCACCAACACCAATTGCATCAATAATCTATAATCGTAAATTAGAAAATAATTTAGGTCGCGTATTTGTTAAAATACTTAATAATGTAAAAGACTAATTTAAATAAATCCTAATATTACCGCTGCTTCAAATAAACATTTAGAACTTTAGTTGTAATTATTACATGTTCAAAAGATAATACAGGAATTATAAACCTTATCACTGTATTATTTAAAACTAAATTTGTAATTCGATAATACTCTATCATTTTTACCATAAAAAAATAAAACAAAGTGACCATTATTATAGATGATTGTGCTATGCTACATAACGTTAGTAGATGGAAAAAATCCAGATGAGCGATCTGCTTCACGTTCTAATTTAAAGAAAAAGATCAAATGTTTAATCTTATGATTCCCTTGTGTTCTGATATCAATTCGCAGCGTTGTACGGTAGAAACTGAACTACTTTATCCCAGTTTTGGTATATTAAGGTTACATTCATTTAGTTTTTTGGCATAGAATAGAGTAAAACTCCCCGAGATATATACTTTATAATAACGATACTATATATATATATATATATACTGTATATATATTATATATATATATATATACTATATATATATATATATTACGTAGTACAGTACAAAAACAAAAAAAAAAATCAAATTATACGTATATATATATATTATAATAATTAGGGTTCTGCAAATGGCATCATGCCAGGCACTAGTGCCTCATGTCATGTCTCTATCTATGAGAACAAATGCCAGGTATATTATAGGCCCATGCCCATGCCGAATATACCTACCTATGCCCACAAGATTTTGTACCTATGCCGTGCCTGTGCTTTCTGTTAGGCATGGACACGAGCCCAACCCTAATAACTGTAGTTATTACAATACTGTATATATATATATATACTATACTAGTGTTATCACATGACCAAGTCATAATAGGTTATATCAATTAGTAAAATTATGTAAATTAGCAATATAACCTACTACTATACTGTATACTGTATATACTGTATTTAGGGTCCCAATTTAAATCTATAATACCTACTAAAATTCACATATACTTTTTTACTAATAACACTAACCCTAAACCCTAACCTAGCCCTATAAAAAAACCCCTAACAAAAAGGCCCAAAATTTTTTTAAAATTTCATAATAAACTAGGTCAAAATTTCAGCATCAGCCGCGACAATATATTTTTGCTTTTGCTTGTTTATACTGTATTTGTAATTTGTAATTTTTAATTTTTTTTTTCATATAATTAATTTTTGTAGTACTTACATATTGGATACTGCATATAGTATATACAGTATTAAAATAATACTTATTTTTTAAAAAGTAAATCAAAAGAAATTTATAATAAAATTTCATCATTAATCGAGAAACATAATCATGTAAAAAACAGTACCTAATGCATTGGCCAATTAAGATTATAATAAGCAAAATTGACTTTTGATTTACTAAATACATTGCATAATAAATAAATAAATTAATAAACACTAATTGAACTATATATATACTTATATATAGATAGGTGAGACTAATTCATTACATTAAGTGGTAGGTTTATAAATAATCCTTCAAATGCGAATGTCAACCAACTATGCCGAATTAGTATTTGATATTGTAGATTCATCATCCGTCCGTGAAAATTCCAATTTTTGAGTATCATTCGTGTTTTCATGTTTAGGATAATTGTTTACGAAACCACCTTCAGATCCGCAATCTTCAGCTTTATAAGTAAACTCTTTATCATGTAATATTTCGGCATCATCTGAAATACGAAAAGTGGAGTTGAGAGAAGGATCGAAATGATGACCTATTGAAGGAGTGTCTGACCCAATTAAAAGTTGCGCATGGCAAGAAGTTTATGTGTTAAAATTTAAAATGGTAGCGAATACATACCGTCAAATTGATCATTCTCTTCACTGTGAAGGTTTTCATTACGCAAGGATCCGTCACGAGATATTTCGTCATCATTGTTTAAATCATTTTGATCATTCACTTTTTTTGTTAATAGTTGTCGATCGCCTTTACTATAATTATCTTCTACAGACTTATCTGTTACTAATGACGCGGTTGCACTAATAGCTTCAGGAATTGGATTAATAATTGGAATTGGAGGGAGAGCAGTGAATATCTCAGAAGATTCTTCTGCATTCGGGTATGCACAAAAAGGATCAGGTCCTTGCTTTATCATCTAAATATAATTGTTGAGAATTTAATAATTACCAAAAAACATAATAAATGAATGAAAAAATTTATATAATTACCCCTTCCAATATTGGATCAGCAATACCCTTACTGGAAATTCTTTCATAAATATCCACTTCAGCCCTAATTACTGTTGAAACTTTAGAAAGGATATAATTAAGGTTATTTTGCTCTGTATCCAAGGTTTGTCTGTAATAGTCCGTTTTCAATCTATCTAATTCTTCTACTTGTCTGGTCAAGTCTTGAAGGGCCTTTAATGATAAAATACAAAAATATTAAAATTATTAGTTATGATCTTCAATGTAACATGAAAATTAGTCATAAAAATACTTACCCTACGAAATTGAGAAAGATCTATTTATATATGGTATGTTTTTAGCTTTAAATGTTAAATAATTATGAAAATGTGGATCATAATAATTTATTTTACCTCTTTGACGTTTACGACCAGAACGTAAGTTCTCCGCTTCAGTTTCTTTGATACGTTTACTCATTTCCGCCAATGACTTATCATAACACTCTTCGTTTGCAAGAATTGTTGCTTTGTGAACATCAAGATTTTCTAACAAGGGAATCTCAAATTTTTTGTAAAACGCATCACTCTAATAAACACAAATTTACGACATAGAACAATGGTGAATTAACGTAGAATAAAATTGAGAAATTCTGAATTAAAAATCATTTACCAGAAGTTGCTGATGATTTGACATTAAATAGTGCAAACCAGCCGCAGCTTGTAAAGCAGGACCTTATAAATAAATTGCAGAAACAAGTATATGTTAATGGAATTTATGTATTATATCAAATTATTATTGGATACATACCAGCGTCGAATGCTCCTTTGCAACGAGCTAACCTTTCCAATGACTGGCCAAAACCAGCAGCAGCCTGTGCGAGCGCTATCATTTGGTTGCGATATATTTTTGCAGAGCTTAATAATTGTTCATAAGCTTCAAACGAGGCACGTATGTCATTACGAGAAAGTATAATTGTTGGTTCTGGGGCTGGCTCAGTCGTTCGTGCCGAATGAGCTATGGAATTTACAGTCCTTGCTGACAAGGTTGGTGAAGTAGGAGCTGAGAATTTATACATGGGTTTAATGGGGTTTGATATATTACTATTTTTTAAGTTGAAATTTCAAAACATACTCGTATGTTATTTAAATAATGATTAGAAACTTAATTGTTGCAGCGTGATCAAAAAAAGCTAAAAGATGGAATTTCCATCAATCACATGTTTGACGTAAAGTGCTCCTGAAATTACGTACAGAGATTATATTCACGTTCTAACGCATGTACGTTTATACATATATTATTTATAGAACAGTTAAAGAATCCAAAAGAATTATCTCTATATATGTATTTGTTACAGTAACGTATAGTAACTGAGCCAATTAGATTGTCAATAACTCCTATGAAACTAAAATTTCACTATAATTTATACTGCGCTATAACCTATCCATAGATCTAACCCTGAACGAAATCCGGTTACATTTTTTAATTATGCCATACAAAGTTAATTCCTTAGTTTCCATAACATGAAAATATTGAAGCTGGCCAGTTTTTTTTTTCTTATATTACATAATTCCTCATGTGATTAATTGTTAATTTAATCTGTCACACCGGAATCATTGACGGGATTAAACAAATGATTAAACATCTGTGCATCGAACTTCTCGTAAACCAAAAGAATTATTTTTTTCGGTTTAAAAAGTCATACTGGATTGTGCGGTCATAAACCTGCTTAAGTAATCCAGAATGCCGTACTCAAGTCTTTTCCGATCGGAAGAGATGTCTCTCATCCAACTATATATACCACAGGAGACAGCTCAGCCAACCGTGGCAGAATTGGGGGAATTGGGCTTGATTCAATTTAGAGATGTGCGTTCTTTACTAGATATTAAGAAAATAAATATAATTTTTTTTTTGTTAATACAATGTGAATTCAAGTTATGTTAATTATGTAGTTGAATCCTGACGTTAATGCGTTTCAACGCGCTTTTGTCAAGGAAATTAGGCGATTTGATGAATTGGAAAGACATCTAAGTAAGCTTTTTATTTAATGATTTCGAATAGATCAATAGTCATTTGTAAAATTAGCCTTAGATATCGATTAGAAATATAAAAGTAATGGCTAAATAGTCGATTATAATGTTACCTTGTTTAATTTTCAAGTTTTTTTTTTTTTTCGAATGGCTCAATTTTATTGACTTTTTCATTCTTCCTAAAGGATTTTTTGATGCACAAATTACGAAATCTGATATTCCTATTCGTCCACTTACTGGCGACATACAAAATATACATGCCCGAAATGCTCAGGAAATTGATGACCTTGAAGAAAAAATCATAGAACATGAACGACGCATTACCCAGATGAATGAGTCTTATGAGACTTTGCAAAAACAATATTTAAAATTAACAGAAATGAGATTTGTTCTGCAAGAGACAAGAATATTTTTTGATGAGGTGTGATAAAATAATCTTGCGATTTTTTGATGGCTTTTGTTATATAATTGATTTTCTTTTATATTTAGGCTACGTCTAATCAAGATAACATACGCAATTCTTTTGATGAGCCTACTGCTCCATTATTGGAACAACAGGACCTTGAACATGGTGGTGAATCCTTGGTTCTCCACCATCTTAATCTTGGGTTGGTATTGAAGGCTGACTGATATTTTTTTCAAGAATTCTTAAATTACTCATCATCACATCAAAAATAGGTTTGTTACTGGTGTTATCTCTCGTGCAAAAATGCAAACTTTTGAGCGTATACTTTGGCGTGCATTGCGCGGGAATTTATACTTGAAATATGTTGAAATAGATGAACCAATTACTGATCCGGAAACTGATGAAGTGCTAGAGAAAAATGTGTTTATTATATTTGCTCACGGAAAAGAACTTATAAATAAGATTACGAAAATATCGGAATCATTAGGTGCAACTCTTTATCCCGTAGATAGTGACCCTAGTGTTAGAGATAATAACTTAGTCGAAATAACATCACAAATTGAGGCCCGTAATTCTGTCTTGCAAAACACTTATAATCTTCGAAGAACTGAATTGCTGAAAATTGCCGAGGATTTGAATATTTGGATGACAATTATTAAGAAAGAAAAAGCAATTTATCATACAATGAATTTATTTAACTACGATTCGAGTCGCAAGTGTTTAATCGCAGAAGGATGGTGTCCAAGTAATGACTTTGATAAAATTAATCAGGCGCTGAGAACTGCTACTGTATGATATCTAATCTTTACAGATTTTATTTTTACTTTTCACGTTGATATATGTAATTTTAGCTATTTTTTCGTTATAGGAACAATCAGGCTCAACTGTGCCATCAATCTTAAACGAGCTTCGCACAACAAAGGAACCACCAACTTTTATTCGTGTCAATAAGTTTACTGTTGGCTTTCAAGAAATAGTTGATGCATATGGTGTGGCAAAATATCGGGAGGTTAATCCCGGGTTATTCACTATCATTACTTTCCCTTTCCTTTTTGCTGTCATGTTTGGTGATTTTGGTCACGGAATGTTAGTCACAATGGCAGCATTATATCTTGTCATTCGCGAGAAAAAGTTCGAGAAAGGTATAAGTGATGAGGTCTGTTATCGTCTCTTACAAATTATTGCCCTAAATTATAAAGTTTTTAATTGAAAAGTTGTTCAAGAATTATTTATGGTTAATTATTTTTAGATATTTGCTACATTCTTCAGTGGCCGCTACATCATTTTATTGATGGGTTTGTTCTCCATCTATACCGGATTGATATATAATGATTGCTTTTCTTTGCCGCTTAAATTATTCCCATCCGGATTTCAGTGGCACCCTAATCAAACTGATGCTCAGCAAGTTGGGGTTTATCCGTTTGGTATTGATCCGGTGAGTGTTGAGATACCCTTTAATAAATTTAAAAAATTTATAAGGATTATATAATGATAATCTGATTTATAATTTTCAGGCGTGGCATGGGTCGGATAATTTCTTGGTTTTTACCAATTCATATAAAATGAAAATGTCAGTTATTCTAGGTGTTATTCAGGTCTGAATAATAATTATAATAACCTTTATAGTCGTTTTACCATATCAATAAGTCTAAAATTATCATTATTTTTTTCTTAAAAAAGATGAGCTTTGGTATTATCCTTACAGTGTATAATTATACCTATTTTAAAAAGCGATTAAGCGTCTGGGCTGAATTCATTCCTCAGATGTTATTTATGCAATGCATATTTGGCTACCTTGTATTTACAATAATACTGAAGTGGTCTATCAATTGGAATGAGCGTGATAATAATGGTGGACTAACGCATGGTGCACCTCCAGGATTATTAAATATGTTAATTTATATGTTTTTACAACCTGGTGTTGTAGCTGAAGAGGATAGATTGTATCCAGGACAGGTGAGTCATAAGTGTATAAATGCGGTCTTATACAATAAATGTAACTAATCATAAATATTATAGGGATTTGTTCAAGCCATGCTTCTTGGTATTGCATTAATATGTGTACCATGGATGCTACTTACCAAACCTCTTATTATGAGACACGATCATAAAAAAATTCGTTCTCAAGGTTATCATAACCCTCAAATGGATACTACACGTGTGTCAACTGACGAAGACAACGAATATGGTGGTGCAGTGGTTGCTGAGGAAATGTTTGAAGTAGAAGAATTTGATTTTGCTGAAATCATGATTCATCAGTCTATACATACAATTGAATTTTGTTTAGGTTGTATTTCTAATACAGCTAGTTATTTACGGTTATGGGCTTTAAGTTTGGCACATGCTCGTGAGTATTTGTTGTTATTAGAATTGGATTGTAGTTGAATATTACATCCTTAAATTGATAAATTTATTTATCTTTTAAGAACTTTCGTCAGTATTGTGGGATATGACACTCAGTCCTACACTTGGAATGTCTGGAGTATTAGGAACAATTGCATTTATTATTGCATTTAGTTTATGGTTCAGTTTAACGGTCTTTATTTTATTGTTAATGGAGGGTTTATCTGCCTTCTTACATGCTTTACGTTTGCATTGGTAATTATTTACTGTCATGTTTGTTTATTGTAAAAATTATTTAACTAACTGTTTCAACTTATTAGGGTCGAATTTAACAATAAATTTTATGAAGGAACTGGTAGAAAATTTCTACCATTTTCATTTAAATTGATTCTGAAAGAACAAGATGATTAGATTTAGGGAATAGATAAAAAAAAACATGCTGCGCAATGAATTCGTTATTAATCACATTTGTGAATGTAATGAGTCACTAATTGACTTTTTTTATTTTTTATATTTTTTATGTAATATTTATGATTTTGGAATATGAGAATACTAAAAAAAAAAAAAAAAAAAAATCCTGGCTTGCAGATTAATTAAAAGTTACGAACAGCGCAGTATATATTTCTACTAAGGAAATATAGATATGCAAGTGATCGTGTACCATTAAAAATTTGCGATTTAAACGTAGTACAAAGAGACCTTTATCTAGTCGTGAGTTCCTTGTTGCTGTTCGCTTCGGAATAAAATAAGTTTTATTAGCATTTACGGGTAACATTCATAATCATCCATAGTCGCACCTAACTTTTTAAATTCCCTGTAAGTTGACAAAGAATTCTAAACTATATACATCTATCTAAATACTAATTATATACATCAATAAACACACCTAGTTATATATACACAAAATTTAAACCTAATTGATTAAATTCTAGGAATTAAATTATCTTTATTTTAATTTCTTAATTAGATTTTCATAAATCCTAAATTATCTAAATTATATAGTTCAATTAAAATTATTTAACTTTTTTTTGTAGTGTTCTTTGAGACTCAAAATCGTACCCACAAAGAAATTTTTTTTCATCAATTCCACCAAAAAGAGAAATTCCTATACATTTTTAATAACTAAACTTTCACAAATTACCTATCCTTCAATTTTTCAGTTTGCTCAACTAATTCTTTACATCATTTTCGGTTTTTTTAAACGGCCACCTACCGACCACTCCTTAATTAATTCCTCTTTCACGACTTCTTCTGTTACCCACCTCAACAATTCGTCAGCGCTATTCCTTGCCTGTGGGTTGGGATCAAGGCTTCGATACAACAACTTTTTAGAATGATCGCCTCTAACATCCTTTGAGTAAGAAATTCCGATTAAGACTTGAAAATAAACAAAAAATATAGTCAAAAATGAAAATATACCTTCTCAATTCGGAGACTAATTTTTTCTGCATTTGACACCAGTTCTCGCAATAACTTGATGTTTGTATCAAGAAGGCCGTTCCATGGACTATCAGAATTAAGAAAACGAAAATTAATCAAGCTTATATAAAATTTTTAGATATTTATGAATACTTACGCTTGACCCGAAAATGTGCGCCAAATTAGGACGCCGATCGAATAAATATCTTCAGCACAAGGGTCATATGGCCCCAAAATTTCTTTATCATGATTATTTTTTGGAAGAGTCATGATTGACCTAAATTTAAATAATAAAATTCACAAATATTAACAAGGGCAAAATATTTAACTCAAATGACGAAATAGCGCACCTGTATAGTCTATAACCATGATCTGGTGGCGTTTTAATCATAGGCAAAATGCTGAGCTTTTCTTCTTCAACAGTTCCAACGGACCATCTGATATATCAATAAACTCAATATATTTGAATATTTTAACAAATAATAAAAATTAAAATAAATCAATTTACCTTTTCACATCAATAGGTCGGACAAACTCTGCTTTACCAAAGTCGATTATAACCAATTCCGGCATTGTACTACCATCTTTCAATTTTTCACGGGTTTCCGATACCATCATGTTGACCTCGGAAAGGTCACGGTGTGCAAAACCGGCTTGATGAATGGCTCGGATACCTCGTAACATATCGACAATGAGCTTATATTTTTGTTCACCCGTTAAGACACGCCTCGAATTGAAAGCATAATCTTTCAGAGTTTGTTCGTACCTATAAACATTACAGAGAAAACCGCAATTAAATCAATGTTAAAGTTTTTCAAACAGTTTTTCATATATTTATTAGTCAAATTAACATACCTTTCCATTGACAGTCCGACTAGCTCATCGTTGGGACTCTTGTAAATTGATCTGATTTGACCTGCATTCGCAACACCCTTGGTTTTACTAGGGATAGTGGTTATTAAGAGTTAATCGAAATACAAATTATAAAATATACGATTGAAAATTATTACTCACAGACAACATACGGCTTCCCTGACACGAGTCTCCAATGTATCCGACGTGATTTGCTTAAAATTTTGAACGACGAAGCTAGTATCATCTGCAAAATGGAAAACCCTTTTGAAAGTCCCTTCAGCTTCAATTTTAATGTTTCCAAGATCATGGAAACTTTCAATGGGAACATTTCGTGCTTTCGCCTCTGTAAACAAATGAAATAAAATAATAAATAGTTAATTACAGTAATGGATTCATAACGTAAATAAATTTATCCCTGGCTGCTACCATCCACATACATTTTATGTATCTACTATAAAAACTAGTCATGAGTGCATTAAGAAATTATATGGATGGCAGGAACAGGTATTTATACCCTGTCAATCCGAGTTTTGTTCTGCGTTTATATAGCAGATCACATGCCAATTATACCTTTCTCAGTAAATTTACACATGTACCCAGATTTCAGGGTATAACCAAAAAAAGATAGTCATATTACCCTTAACAAGATGCTCCCAAATAGATTGAGGAGTTTGGGGTTCGATTATTGCATCATCTTGTTGCTTTAGCTGTAAAGCATCAATAAATGCATCATGTAATTCAGGAGTCAAACATTCCTTATGATACTCTCCAACTTGAAAAGAACTTTTTATATATTTATCATAAAATTTTCGCGTAATTGTAAGGTCAAGAGTTACTCTATTTATAAATGCACATTTAATCCATGCTCTTGCATCAATCAATTCAGGAAATTGCATGCTATCTAATGCGTGTAGGTCTCCAAAGGGTTTTGCAATAAGGGTGTCGCATTTTAACGATTCTACACTCCTATTATATTTGATATTCTTGAGTATAACTAGAATAGAGTTTTTTCCGTCTCTACAATGTGCGAGAGATGTACGACCAGAAATAACATATAATCGGCCAAAATTACAGGTTGACTCTGATGGATCAAATTCCATTGATGGTAGAAATTCTAAATTCAATACTTCGCCAAGAGGACGCGCTAAGGGATCCAATCTATCGATTACAGATTCTTTAAGCTTACGATGTGGGCCAGTTTTATTATTCTCGACGAAAGTGTACAATGGCATAATATAAATTTTGCTATATTAAAATGCTTAACCATTAATGCTTAGATACAAATCAATAACTACTCTTCCTAAATATAAAATTTATTATTTACCTATCAACGTGAGGTATAAAAGGTGGAAGTTTTCTGAAATCTTCATGAGGAAGAATTACATTATTTCTGGCAAGTGATTCGGAAATTCCTTGAGCAGTATTGCCGTATGTACTGTTATTCAAGAGCAAAAAAAATTATAAATTTTTACAATTAAGAAAATAGTAATAATTATAATTACTATAAATAAAAGTCAATTACAATACCTCAAAGTAAGTACAGCTTTTTGGAAAACTAATGATAGCTGTTTTGCTTCTTCAAAAATAATATCACCTTCTCGGTGAAACTGAAACGCATTATACATGATCTGACAAATGTCTCTATACAAGTCTAATGGAGAAGAATAACATCTAGCCCAAAGCTTACGTTCTGCCGTACTTAAGTCCATCAAATCTTTAATTATTGACCTATAATAGTATGCATCTTCCGCTTCAGGATTTACGAACGGGCGAGCGTATGATGTTGACAAAAGTTCATCAAAAATATATGTCCCAAGTCGCAACATTTGTTCTCTTGTTAATCCTGGCGATGGTGGCTTTAAGGATTTGTAGAAATTGTATAAGGATTCCGCCGATTTTTTCATAGGCATTGATGGTGCTCTAGACGCATTGGTCGAAGATCCAACATTACCATTACCGTTTAATGAAATATTTGTTGATACTGATGCTTGTTCTCCAATTGACCTAACTACTGGTGCATTATCGGTCACCCTTTCTTTGCCTTTGCGAGATGTTATTCTTGCACTATTTTTAATTTGAGCAGTTATCAGAGATTGTTGTTCTTGTCGGTTGTGCTTTACACCCGGCTTACGTCCCGGTTTCGAGATTTTTTTTGTACTCAAATTTCTTTTTGTCGGTGCAACCAAGTCTGCTTGTATAGGCATTAATTCTTCCTCAATTTGGCTTAAGTCCATATCGATTTGTATGGGCTCCGATTCTTCCTTAATTTGTTGCGAGTCTAAATCAGCCTGTATGGGCAGCGTTTCTTCATCTAATATCATATCCGCTTGTAAATTATGTGATTTTTCCTCAATCGGTGATGTAGATGAAATAGATGATGTCAAAGAAGAACTAGCATTGCTTAATAAATAATCGGTTGTTGATATTGAACTTTCACCGTTTGAAGCGTTATTTTCAACTGACTTTTTTAAAGGGAATTTTAAAGGGTCAGGGTCTTTAAAAGTATGCTTTGCACTAGATTTTTCTGCTACTTTTGAGCTTTTTTTTCGATTCACTTTCTTCTTTAGCGACATATCTAAATCATTTTGTAAAGACTCTTCTGTTTGTGATACTATAAAATCGAGTTGCTTTCCATCGGTTTGTGATAAAGGAGGAGTCAGCATTGACAAAGAATTATCATTAGATGAATCGTCCTTTTTTGATTGCGTTACCAACTCAGATTCAGTTTGATCAGAAACAGAAAAACTCGAAGATGACGTATCATCAGAAGCTGTCAAGGTTCCACTAGATGTAAAAACTTGTTCTTCAACAGAAAGAATGACCTGTATATTATCACCATTAGTTTTATCATCACCTCCATGGGAAGTATCATCTGCATTAGGCTTTTTCGAAACAGATGTTTTTGGGAATTTTAAAATATTTAACTCTTTTCGAATATTAGGCTTTTTTACTATTTTTGAAACACTTTTCTGACCAGACTTTCTTTTAGAAGGTGTAACAATATCGGATTGTTTAGATTGAATAGAACTAGTAACATTTAATGATCTTACTTCCAGGCCTTCGGCTGGTTTCCAGGGGGAGGATATATCATCATTTGGTGAATATGAACGCCAATCGTCACCTTGAACTAAATTTAGATTTGACGGTGGTTGAAATTGCATGGTTTTGACCTGTTGCCACGGAGAAGAACCATTAACATTTTGCGGATGTGATTGCCAATCCTTATTTTGAAACGGTACGATCATATCTGATAATGGAGGACCAGAGATATTAGGTGGTGTTTGTAATTCCCAGTTTTTTACAGGTTGCCAATGAGAAGACCTATTAACATTTTGTGAATGCGGCCTCCAATCGTTATTTCGATGAGTAGATAAATCCGATTGAATAGAACTGGAGACATTAGATGATCTCAATTCCCAATTTTCAGCCTGTCCCCAAGGAGATGACCTATCCTCACTTTTCCAATCTTTACTCTTAGATGAAGAGACATGATCTGATTTGTTAGATTGATTACTAGCAGGGACACTAGATGGACGTAATTCCCAATTATCAACTGGCCACGGAGAAGCCTTATCATCATTTTGCGAACGTGGACGCCAATCATTATTTTGAATGTTTAAATATCTAGGAGGACGATGAAGCCATGTAGATTGTGAATGCATCGAATGCTGTGGCCAATCATATCGTATATTATAATGAGGATTTTGACTCGACCAAGACGGTCGAGAATCCGTTTGCTTCATTAACTCAGTAGGACCAGAGCTGTACCAAGCGATATCAGACTGAGATCGTTGATCAGCGGTCATAACGACATGGGTAGGTAACGTCGAATAAGGTAGTTGAATCTCCATATGTGAAAGGGGAGGTTGTTCTGACAGTGTTGAATAAGGAGGAGGTCGTTCTGTACCCATGTGTGAGTGTACAGGTTGGTCTTGTTTATTTTGTGTTCTCCTCGAAGAGCTTTTTTGAATAGGATCTTGCCTGCGAGCTTGTCGTTTCTCAACTTTCTGGTTTTGCTGTAAAGGAGGCATCATGAACGGTAAAACTTTATGAGTACGTGTTAAACTTTGTTAAAGGGGTTTAACGACAACAGCGAATATCTTGTACGAAGGTAACGTTTATCGTAAATTTAAAAGCTAACAAATTATCCGGACTAGTGTAAAAAATGAGCCGGATAATTCCGGTAACAAAACTTGTCAGATGACGATAATTAGAACGTCGGAACCGCAGCATAAAATTCGAACACAAGCTATAATATCGCACTCTTCATGTGAATTAGTTAAAATGAACCAAAAGTTATGAAAAAAACGGTTGAAACGAACAAATTTTACAGTATAAATTCAAAAATAAAATGAGAAATATTATTGAACTTCATATAAAGTTCTAGAACTTTTCGTCAAAATTAATAATTTCAACGATAAACAACATGAAGGTTTGAGTTACCAATGTTGTATCGTTGTATTCGCCGTTTTTTTTTTCTTTTTTTTTTTATACATATATATAAAAATACTTACAACACTGGCCAAACAATATTTGATAACGGGAGCAAAAAAAACAAATGAATAGACAAAAAAAAAATTAAATAAATAAATAAAAATAAGAAAAAAAAAGAACTCTTAAAAAACGATAATTATCAGAACTTTCAAATATTATAAACGGAGAAAAAGGATTCTACACACGTCTTATTTGAAGTTTTTCTTTGATTTCAAAAAACGAAGTCAGAGTTACGTTGATGTAGACAACAAACGTTCAATGCCTCATTTATCGTTACTGCCAATCGAATCATCGGGTCGGAAATCGGGGCCAGCTGTCCGCATTAATGTAAATATAATGCAGGCCGATTGATCTTCAAACTCTTGATTCTGGTCGTAAGTTAAGCACACACTAATACACTAATAGGAATTTTTGTAAATGATACTCTCGAAATGATCCTAGGAAAAGTTCTAATTCTTTATTATATGTATGAACATATCATTTCATTAATTAAAAAAAAATTTTTTTTCGTCAATCTATGGCCGGAAATTAGAGAGAACGCCGAATTTCCTTTTTCGGGATTTAACATATCTGCGGATCCTCAGGAGTTCATCTAACCAGATTTGGTATTTTTTTACAAGCAGCATTTTAAAGATGCCGGTATAATGCTAATTTTTTTATTCGAATTTATGGTTAAGAACTAACGGTTGGACGCGTTTTTTCGCGTCTGTGACCAACCGAATAATATGAATAAAAAATAATAATAAATGATTGATGCTGCGCGAGGGATAAGACTATCACACTAGTTAGCGTTTTTTAGTTGGATGGAATAGGTGAAAACTCTGAAAGAGACGACAATTACGCGGTATCATTTAAAATAGAGACTATTGATATCTTTAGATCGCCGTTAATTAAATGTCAAGAAAATGATCGATCGCTCCCATGAGATTAATTAACCATTTAATATGGTCTATCTATGCCGTTCTCTCACTGATAAATTTTCGAATAATATTAAACAACACAAAAAACATATTCAGACTATTTTGAAAATCAAACCCTGTTCAACATGAAAGTTTCGCTAGTCGTATCACAAATGCAATGGACAGTAAATCACGTGAATCGTAAATCTTAAACATTTTTTAACAACACATCCTCTCCTATCGCTATAATACAATAACCTCTTTAACTTATTCGTTCAACTCATTACGAAAATCTTGGCACTCTTTGATGTCCATTCTTCTATGGTCTTGTAATAAATATATGCATAATTTAGTCACATCAATGAATTTCATGATAGTGTAGATAGCCGTAGATAATATTTGCCTGTTTTCATGAAAATAATGATACTTATCAATGTTGTGTAATGAGAAATGTAAGGGTTTTATCAGTCAAAAACAACTCTACCAGATATGCGGTATTTATATATAATATGTTCAACCCGGAAGCTCCCTAGTTGCTCCTGACTTCGCTCAAGATATCGTTTACTATAGAATTTCATGGAATGTTTACCCTAGAGAATGCAGATTCTATCTAAAATAATTCAAAATCCATAATCTCTTTTTTTTTTTTTTTTTTTTTAATAAAAAGAAAACAGAATAATAGTTTTATATAATTCATAGAGTAGAATATTTTATTATCGTTATATGACATATCAACGATAAAGAATCCCTATGCCGATCCTACGGCCGGATATTCCCTATATGAGACAAACCACGTGTCAAAAGCAAGATCCAATTAGCGTTGGCGTTGGATAATCTACATATATACCTGATTGGGGTATATAGCGTATAAACGTAAACCTTTCCAATTTCGCGTTTTATCGTTTCCCAAAATGTCAGAGTTTCTATATGCTTCCGATAAAGATTTATACTCTCTCTTATCTCTCACCTCAGAAGCTACCCCAGCTGATATAAAAAAAGCCTATCATCGCCTAGCTCTTCAGTATCATCCTGATAAGCATACTAATTCAACACCTGAGCAACGCGAAGAAGCAACTCGAAAGTTCCAGAGCTTAGGATACGCTTACGCTATACTTAGTGACCCCAAGAAACGTGAACGTTATGATAAGACCGGCGATGTTGAAGGTTTTGAAGGCTTTGACGATATGGGGAAGGAAGGCTGGGATGCTTTTTTTAAGGAGCTGTGGTCTGGTGTAGTGAACTCAAAATCTATAGAGGAATTTCGTAATGAATATCAAGGTAAATCTTTTCTATTATTCCACGTAAATCCTATGTTTTTTTTTTTCATGGGCTTTGGTTGTTTAAGCTTTATGCTTGCTTATATGATAGGTTCCTCTGAAGAACGTTCTGACCTCATTAATGCTTACAAAAAATATAAGGGTGATATGAACCTCATTATGGAAAATATTGCATGTGGTAGCATTGAAGATGAGCCACGTTTTATTGAAATACTTCAAGGCGCCATCTCTTCAAAAGAAATTCCTTCATACAAAAAATTTACTTCTTCTACTGCTTCAGCTGCAAGGACGAAGCGTCGAAAAGAAGCTGAACGTGAAGCAAAAGAAGCCGAAGAGATGGCTAAAATGTATGGTTTGGATCAGAAATTGCTGAAAAATAACGATGATGAAGAGCAACTAAGACAGTTAATACTTGCAAGAGGTGAGAAACGAATGAATGCATTGGTGGAAAGTCTTGAAGCTAAATATGGAGGAAGCAAGCCGAAAAAAACAAAAACGAGTAAGGAAAAGCAGAAGACCTCTAAAAAACGAAATGAGATATGTATATCAGAACAATGAACTCTACATATTATTATCAAGCTATAGGATTTTATACAAAAGCTTATTTCAAACTGGCTTAGATTTTTTTTTAGTAAGGCTAATTACAACAAATCCATTAGAACAGTTCATAATCTATTTCGCATATTATCTGACTTGTAATATTTATGTTTTTTTAAATAAATTCTATAGCTTTATAACTATCTTTTTTTTATTAATGCTTTAATTAATTAGCTATATAAACCAAAGATTATAACTAATTTTATTAATGAGAATATTATCCGTTTTTATTAAAAAAAATAAATTTAAGTTAAGTTAAGATTGGCTTTAGGCCAGCCAGAGCAAAAAATTTATATATTTAGCCAAATACAGTATTAGTTTTAAAATTATAGTTTTTAATACAAAATTGTAATTTATATAAAGAATATTAATTTTTATTATTATGCTTTTAGTAATTATTTGTAAAAATTAAGAAAACTTTATAAATAAAAAATATATAATATACTGTATATTTATAACCTTTCAAATTAATAATTTTAATTTTTTTTTTTGGTATTAAAATAATCTTATTAGCTCTAGCTTTTTATTAGAAAAATATATAATTTTAGTTACAGTCAATTCTTTCTAAGTGCATGTCCTCTAAGTGCATGTTCTCTCTATATGCATAAAAATAGCCTGGTCCCAAGTCGGGATTTATAAAATAAGTGCATGTTTTATATTCTCTAAATGCAGGTTATTTTTCAAATTATATATATAAAAATATTCTCTTTAAATGCATTTTTAATATATTAACCAATCAAATTTGAAAATATTTATTTAGATAATAAAACAATTAAAATTTATATATTTTATTCCTTTTAATTATAATATAAACTAATAATATATAATAATATAAAAATTATTATTATAAAAATAATAAATCTTTAAATATTAATAACTTTTAAACCAACTCTTTCTAACGATTATCTGGACCAAAATTTCCTACCAAACAAAACCAAAAATTTTGTTGGAGAAGAGAAAACCTGCTTATGGGACAGTTTATATAAAGATCAACTTGCTACTAGGAGGGACTCCTTTACATATTTGGCATACAAACCAGAAGCGTTAAGAAGCAAGATAACTGGCAGAAGTTGGCGCCTTTGGTTTCAAAATTCTGGAAAGAAGGTGCTTATGAGAAGTTGGGGCCTTTTTGTTGACAAAGTAATCTATAATGCAAAAGAATAGAATAAAAGAAGAACAACAAATGAGTTTTTATAACAACACTCCTTGGAAATTTAGAGACATTTTTTTGAAAAACATACAGCTAGTGTGGTTCGAAAGGAGCCTTAACATGAGACATGGGAAAAGGGACCTATTATAGGTACGGCACTTGTCGTTTAGAGGCAGTTCTCATATGCTACCTGCCGACAAGCTCAGAGTTTATCACTCACCAATAAAACTTAGTACTGTGCAGGCTTGGATAGACATTTCTTAGATGTTTCCTCTTGGTTTTTTACCTCTCTTTCGCTTTTGCCGTTCTGTTCAAAATTTTTGAAAAAAAGTGGGCATTTGGGCTCACCCCCTTCAAAAGATTGGCAATATTTATACTCTCCTAATTCAGACGTACTCAGTAGAATACAACCACGTGTTTGTTTTGTTTATCAATATAGTGCTACGGTATAGGAAAGAGATTGGTATCTCTATTTAGGAGATACCTGAGTTTCATCGGTGCTTGGAACGAGTCCTCTACAATAAGGCAATGTCTTACAATTGAGATATATTAATTAGTTGCAATTACTATATAATTTTTATCCTTATGCCTGGCATGGGCTATAATAGTGTGTC